CTGGACTCTTAGACTTGTCGGCTCCCGCTCCATCAGTTTGCTTTGTACTACTTCTCTTGCAATTGTAACTTTGCTATGTTCCTCTCTCCCTTTCACCTGCTGACTTAATGATTGCTAGAATGTTTGTTGTATTCCCTGTAGCGACGACAGAAGGGAAATATTTCTTAGTTTAATCCACCATTTTCTTATTATCTATTATTAAACTCCAATTTTCACTCTCTAGAGGACCAAGATTCAACTCACTCATTTCCTTCTAAATACATGTGAAATCCCAGCTCTCCATTCTATATTCCTAGCTAGCATCGTTTTGTACTCTAATTTTTTCCTCCTGATTAACCTTTTAGTCATTCTCTGCTGTTCTTTATATTCAGACCAATTGTCTGACCTCTACTCATCTTAGGTCAGTTGTACACTTTTTCTTTAAGTTTGATGCTTTTCCTAACTTCTTCAGTTAACTGTGGTGGGTGCTCTCTTTAATATTTTCTTGTTGTAGCAGGAAGACATTCTCAGTACTCCAAAGTATTCCCTTAAGTGTCTGCCACTGTGCCTTTATTGATCTGACCCTAAACTAGTATGTCAGTTCGCTTTTGCTAGTTCAGCTTTCAGGCCAACGTAGTTGTCCTTATTTAGGCCTAAAACACTAGTTCTCCCCTTTCTCCCTTTCAAACTGGATACAAAGATCAGTCATATTGTAGTCACTGCTACCTATGATTGCCTTAAATCTGAGGTCATTCATTAATCATGGCACATTACACAATACCGAAGTCAAATATGACCTGCTGTCTATTTGGTTCCAAACAGGCTGCTTTAAGAAACTATCTCAAAAGCACAAAGTCCTCATCCAGGCTATGAAACCCAGTCTAAGTTTTCAAGTTTAAAAGTAGATTAAAGTCACCCATGATATCTGCTGTCCTTTTAGTCAGAAGCATCTAATATTCCTTCTTGTATACTTCGTCCCATATCGTGGTTACTGTTTGGAGGTCTGTAGATCACTCCCATTATTGACATTTTTCCCCTACTATCCCTCATTTCCCCCCCGAACCAATTCCACATCATGATAAACTGAACCAAGGCCATCCCCAACTATTGCACAAATGTCATCCTTCATTAGCAGTGCTACCCCTTCACCTTTACCTAGTTTCCTATTTTTCTTGAATGCCACATAACCTCTCAATATTCAAAACCCAACCCTTGTCATCCTGAATTCATGTTTCTGTAATGGCTATCAAATCAGAATTGTTTGCTTCAAATGCACACTCCAATTTGTTTACTTTGTTAGGAATGCTACAGGCATTCAGATAGAACCTTTAATTTTGACTTTTTGTTCTTTTTGTTAAAAATGCTCTTACTTGTTGGTGTATTCCTAGGTTTCTTTCTCTCTGTCCCTCCTGCTATTTCCTGACCTGCATTTCCCATTCCTGTCTTAACTTTTCTCTAGACTTTGATGTATTACATTTTACCACGTTTGGTCTCTTGCCCCACTTTTTAGTTTAAACTCCTCTATACATCCCTGTTATCCAATAAGTACCCAATACCAATTTGTTTGCAACTCCAATGATAGTCCAGAGATTATAACGTTTGATCTTCTGCTGTTTACTTTCAGGCCCATCTCCTCATACTCTGTAAGCAGACACTCTTTTCCTAGACCTACTTATGAAGGTGGAATCACAACTATTGGCTTTTCCCCCTCCCACTACAAGGTCCTTTTCAGCCTGAGCAGATGTTGGATGTTTGGATTTCATAACAACAGTTAATAGACTCAGATCAGATTCTGCAAGCCGCAGCAAGCAATTGCTTGTCTGTTGGAACTGAAACTAAATGAGTGCCTGAATAAAAGCCAATTTGGGAGATCTGGGTCAAGTGATAATTTCCTGTTGTTGGCCACTTAACTCTGAGCCTGCACTTTGTGCATCATTACATTATACAGACGTAGGCATCTCAACTAGACTGAGTGTTCATTGCAGGACTGAAGGTGTGCTGCATTGTCCACAGTGCTTTGAGACGCGATGTTAATTTAGTACTCTTGACTACCCTCTCAGGAGGATGACAGAGATCTAGTGGCACTATTTATAGAGGAGCTGGGAAGCTGTCTCCAGTGTCCTGACCAATATTTATTTCATAGAAACATATAAAAGATAGGAGCAGGAGGAGGCCATTCAGCCCTTCAAGCCTACTCTGCCAATCTTCACGATCATGGCTGATCATCCAACTCAATAGGCTACTCCTGTTTTCTCCCCATAACTTTTGATCCCAAATTTCAATATACATTCGCCAATATGAAATTAAATGTTAGTAAAAACTTCATTCAAAATTAGTTGTCTGGTTATTTTTAAAAAAAATATTTCTGAGGATGTAGGTATTGCTGGCTGGACCAGCATTTGTTGTCCATCCATAACTGCCCTATAGAAGGTGCCAGTGAACTGTTGCAGTCTATCATGTAGCTACACCCATGGTGCTCTTTTAAGAAAACTGTTTGAATATTTCGACCCAGGATGGAGGATTATTTTTGCTTGTTGGGATGGTGAGTGTCTTGAATGGGTACTGTCTGCAGAACCTCCAGTCTCTGTCCTGCTGTAGCTACAGAACTTATTTGGCTGGTTCAGTTGAATTTCTGCTTAATGGTGGATACTTGGGGATGTGGATAGTTGGAAATGAAGTGATAGTAATGTTGTTGAATATCAATGGAAGATTGTTAGATTATGTGTTCTTGGTGTTGTTCATTTCCTGGCAGTATCTTATTATCACATTGCTGTCTGTGGGAACTTGAAGTGCACAAGTTGGCTGCCAGGCTTTCTATATTACAACTGTGACTACACTTCAAAAGTACTGCTATGGCTGTGAACCACTTGGGACTTGTTGAGGTTGTGATTGGCATTATATAAATATACGACTTTTCAATGTGTTCGAGGTTATGCAGTTACAAGTACGTTCTGCCAACTAGCACACAATGTATGCATATTTATTCTATTGTAGCTTCGCTGATGGGCAAAATAGACGTTTTCTTTTCCTATAGCTGTGCAGCAATGATGGACTTTTCTTATGCTGCTGTTTATGTCACTACTGTTCTGATGAAATCTGTGGTTTCAAAGCTTGTATTTTTTGAGGCAGAGTGTAACTGAATAGGGAAAACATATGGAACACTGAGAAATAAAACTAAGACAGGAAGTTTCTAAGGAAATTGAGACTGCAACAGAAGTTCTTCTGGGGAGTGGAAACTGGTTTAATCCATGTAAAAGGATTCTGATCTAGAAGATCCTAGTGATGCAATCTAGGCAGGCTGAAGAAGATGTCGGATAAATCAAGAAGCTGAGAGTGGGCAAATAGTTCTGTAGCTTTTACTGAAGATAATGTTGATGGATCAACACCATCCAGATGGTCGAAAGCAGTGTTGAGGAAGTTCTTCAGATGTTTGCCATTTTTAGTATAGATCATGCCTGTGGAATTTAGGTTGCTTATATACTGCTGTCAATTTGGGCTCAAGCTAAGTTCAGGAAAAAGAGCAGCTGAAATTCTTTGTGAAAAAGACAGAATTTTGAAGGACCTTGGCTGAGATTTGACCGCCTATCCTATTTGTAAGAGCTGTCTTAATTGCATTTGTCATTTAATGTGTAATTTATAGTTTATAATCAATCTTCCTGTTAATTTGTATTTATCTCATGTTAGTTTTGGGTTTTAGGCAGTTATCTGAGAGAGTACTCACTGTTTGTTTTGTTTGATTCTTGTACAGGAAAATATCATTTTGTTTGGACAGAATCTTGTGGCCTCATTCTTTCAGTAACTGGGATTTTAGATATTGTTCAGAAAAAGTGTATTGGTTTCCACTGAGATGATAACTCTGTGCAATTATTTTGTCATTGTCTATCTGCATTTTCCCGTATTTTTTTTTCTCCTCTGAGTGTCTCTATTATCTCAGTGTGGCTTTCACTCATGATAGCTTAGAGGTATGATCAGTTTCTCAGTATTTATTCACTTACTCTTAAAGCCTGAGGCATAGAATCGTGGACTTTTACAGCACAGAAGGAGACCATTTGAACACTGTGGCTTTTTGAAAGAGTTATCTAATTTGTCCCACTCCCCAATTCTTTCTCTGTAGTCTGCAATTTATTCCTTTTCAAATATTTATCCGGTTTTCTTTTGAAAGGTGTTATGGAATTGGCTCCCGTTGCTCTTTCAGATACTATTCCAGATCATAGCAACTCGCAATGTAAAAAAATTCTCTGCGCTTCCTGCTGACTTTTATGCCAATTATCTGTGTTATCTTGTGACTGTCCGTCTTTCTACTGGAAATAGCTTTTCTTTCAAAATCTTTCATAATTTTGTACACCTCAGTGAAAAGGTGGTTTGAGGCTCCTTGTTGTAAGTGTAGCAGAGTCCCGGGTATTATTGAGGACCTTTAATAGTCATATGTGAATCCTGATGTTGTCTGTTGTCCTGATAATCTGATATTGATTGCATAAGAACCTGCATAAGGATTCTTTTGAACAGCTAAGCTTAACATTTGACTGAACATGTTTTGGTTAAGTCCTATCTGCTCCCAGTGAGAGGAACTGGCAGTTTAGAATTGGGTGGGGAGATGGCTTTGGTCAGAGGCCTGCTGGCTGGATCATAGCTCAGTTGTTCAGTGTAGCTTTTTGAGAAAAGAACAAAAACGTGAAAAGCAAAGGCCTTCTGTCAAGGATACATCTATCTTCCATGCCCAATTTAGTAGTTCATTGCAAGAAGCTGACCCATCATTTGGATCAATCCCGTTCAATTTAATGTCAGGTTTCTTTTAGGTGTTCACTCACCCACATCTACCATCACACTAAGCTGTCCTCAAGCCGGACTTGAACCTGGGAATGTCCTGTTCTCAACAGTTAAGTGCCAAAGCAAGAACGAAATGCTGTTTTAAAATAAGCAAATAAGCTGTTTTATGTTAAACATCATCATTTCTGATATTCATGTAGCATGAGTTAATGTGAGGCGTTGGATAACGTTGCTACGTGTTTTGTCACCATAAGGTCACCAGCCTAAGCGGACAGCAAAGATTCCGACGCTCGTTCCTGAGTCAAGAATCATCTCCTCACAGGACAGATCCAGTGGGTTTTCCGGGGGGAGCCTGTCTTCAATAAGTTCAAAGAAACTCAGTGGTGAGTGTTGGCTTAGCTTTTGGTTAGCCTGATCCTTCACAGGGGCCAGAGTAGAATGCTTTCAGTAACCACAGGATCCTCAATTGTGGAACATATTGAACTAAATTTATTTACATACAGCATGCATGATGACTGTATGTCATACAAAGAATTAGCTTTGTGTTTCAGGGCAGGAGATAGATGAGTAGAAACTAATTTTGGGCAGTGACACAAATGATTGGTATTGGGTCTGCCTCCTGGTCAATGTAACAACAGGTGTCTTGCTATCTCTGAGTGACTGAAAACCCTACTGTGAAGCCTCTTCCAAAGATGCCCACCTTGAAGAACTTTCTTCCTCCCTCTGAAAAGATCTCAGTGGATCTCTCTCCCACTGCAACCCACTGGTGATCTCCTCTGCCCTGAAGCTCTTCAACCACATACTGAAACAAACCCGTTACTACAGCCATGTCTCCTTTCACAGTACCTGCCTACATAGCCAGCTCATACCCCATGGACTCTAAACAATGTTCAGACTATCCTAATTTGGACCAAACCATGACAACCGCTCCTACAGAACATCCAGAGCCTCCAAAAAACGTTTTTCCCTGCAGATCCTCAGCTCCAGGCTCGCAGCAATGTGCCAGCATCTTCTCGTACTACAGTCAACCCTACCCCAGCTGAAAGCCTCTTTTTCGCAGACTTGCAAAGGACCTCTACTGCTTTGCGTTCTACACATCATCCACACCCTCAACCAATGCTTTTTCTCTGCCCTTACATCAAGGATTGTAAGTACACCAAACTTGCTCATGCTTACCTCTAAACACTGACCTCCTGCACCACCCTCAACACCAACCCCTATCTGCGACCTCATCCTTAATTTGTCCGGCGCCATTAACCGCGCGGTCGCCTTGGCTGCTCCCGCTATTGACAATGTCACTTCTGTTAATGCTGCTGACCACCTCACTACTTCCGCTTCTGCCCACGTTACCATTCCCAAACACACACCCACTCCCGAAACAGTCTCCAACTCCACTTCCAGCTCCAGCTCTACAACAGCCCCAGGCCTAAGTTCTGCGGGGTATTCACCATCCCCCTCAGACCTCTCCCTCACTGAGGATGAACGGTTAGTCCTCAGCAAAGGACTCACATTCATTTGCTGTACCCACACGTCAACAAATTATGTTCACGCCTGGATGTCGAACTCTTTTCCCACTGCCTCTGCCTCCATGCCTATTTCTTTAACAGGGAGTTTATCCTCCCCTCTGCAGACCCCTTCTCCCACGTCCAACACACCCCCTCCTCCTGGACACCACCCCACAGCCTCCTACCCTCCCTCAACCTCTTCATCTCCGACTGCCGTCACAACAACAATTGCCTCGATCTCTCCACCTCTCTCACTCGCTCCAACCTCTCCTCCCCCTCACTCACTCCACCCCTCTCACTCGCTCCAACCTCTCCTCCCCTCTCACTCGCTCCAACCTCTCCTCCCCTCTCACTCGCTCCAACCTCTCCTCCCCTCTCACTCGCTCCAACCTCTCCTCCCCTCTCACTCGCTCCAACTTCACAATCAAACCCGCGGATAAGCGGGGGCGCGCAGTGGTGGTATGGCGCACTGACCTCTATATCATGGAGGCCATGCACCAACTCTGACGCTTCCTCCTACCCCCCCACCCCCCCAATTATGACCCCACCTCTGACCACCAAACCATCATCTCTCAGACCGTTAACACCGTCATCACCTCAGGTGACCTCCCACCCACCACCTCCAACCTCATCATCCCCAAACCCCGCATCATCCGGTTTTATCTCCTTCCCAAAATCCACAAACATGACTGCCCTGGCCGACCCGCACTGAACTCATCTCCGCTTACCTTGACTCTGTCTTTTCCCCTGGTCCAGGAACTCCCCACCTGCATTCGGGACACCACCCACGGCCTCCCCCTCCTCCGAGACTTACAATTCGCTGGCACCCAACACCTCATCTTCACCTTGGACATCCAGTCCCTGTATACTTGTTTCCCCCATGCAGGTGGCCTAAAAGCCCTCCGCTTCTTCATCTCCCACAGGCCCAACCAGGCCTCTCCACTGACACCCTCATCTGCTTAATGGAACTTGTCCTTACTCTCAACAACTTTTCCATTAACTCCTCCCACTTCCTACAAACTTGAGGGTTCGTGTGGGCACCTGTATGGGTCTAAGCTATGCAGGTATGTGGAATAGTCCCTCTTCCGCTGTTACACCGGCACTATCCCTCATCTTTTCCTCTGCTATATTGACAGTATTGGTGCTGCCTCCTGCTCCCATGAGAAGTTTGAACAGTTAACTTTACTAACACCTTTCACCCCCAATCTCAAATTCACCTGGACCATATCCTATATCTCCCTCCCCTTCCTGGACCTCTCCACCTCCATCTCCGGTAACCGTCTCAGCACTAATATCAATTTCAAACCCACCGACTCCCATAGCTACCTGGACTACACCACCTGCAAGAATGCAATCCCTTACTCCCAATTCCTCCACCGTATCCGCTGCCAAGATGGAGCGTTCCATTCCTGGACATCCCAGATGTCCTCCTACTTCAAGGCCGCAACTCACCCCCCCCACCTCCATTGAACCACAATGTCCCCAACTGAACCTCTTGCATTTTCCGCACTTCTGCCCTCAAATGCCTGCCCCTCAACAAAAATAAGGACAGAGTTCCCCTGGTCCCCACATACCACCCCACCAATCTCTGCATCCAATGCATCTTCCTCCACCACTTCTGCCACCTGCAATCCGACCCCCCCACCAATGAGATATTTCCCCAGACAACCTTTCCAACTCTGAAAGGGGTTCACGTGTACGTCCGCCAACCTGGTCTACTATATCCGTTGCTCTTGATGTGGTCTCCTCTACATTAGTGAGACCAAGCGCAGACTTGGTGACCGATTCGTGGAGCATCTGCTCTGTGTACACTGTAATCAACAATACCTTCTGGTTGCCAACCATTTTAACTCCTCCTCCTTCTGCCTTGGTGACATATCCATCCTGGGCCTCCTCCAGTGCCACAATGATGCCACTCACAAACTGGAGGAACAACACCTCATATTCCACCTTGGGAGTCTACAGCCTAATGGCCTAAACATGGAATGCACCTGTTTTAAAATCTCCCCACCCCCAGCTTCATCCCATGTCAAACCCTCCCTCTCATCCCCACCTCCTTGACCTGACACAACCTGTCCATCTTCTCTCCCACCTATCCGCCCCACCTATCCCACTAAACAATCCCCACCACTCCCTACCTGCATCCACCTATCACCATCCCACCTACCTTCCCTCAGCCCCACCCCTCCTCCCTCGATTTATTTCCCAGCTCCCTTCCCCCTCCCCGGTCCTGATGAAGAATGTAAACCCAAAAATGTTGACTTTCCTGCTCATCTGATGCTGCCTGGCCTGCTGTGTTCCTCCAGCACCACACTGTATTGACTCTGACTCCAGCATCTGCAGTTCCCGCTATCTCCAGGTTTCCAGTTATGTTCATTGCAATGGAACGGAACCAGGCACCAAATGTAAATAGCTAATCTCATATTCATCACCCCAGACAAATTTCTAGACTTGTATCTTTCATGCTTTTCACTCGACTCTGAAAATTGTTGCTCTTCTCATACTTTGGCCAACATTTTATTCCTATGCAGGTGCTCCTTTACTCTACGGCAATTGAAGATCTGACAGGGTTCCTGTGTCATCTCCATTGGGGAGACCTGACGAGATTAAATGCCTGTCCAATATTGAACTGTCCAGAGTTGAGATTTTGGAGCCTGGGGGATAGAAACCCTGCCCACCAGTTGGAGGCTGGCAGCTTTCAATTGCTGGCAGTGCCACTTCAGTCATGGCACCCTCTAACCTCAAATACTTGTGTGCTTTGTGATGACAGTCCTGAGGAACAGAATATAATAGACTCGGTGTTGGATGCTGTAGGCTGAGTGATCATGAAACACAGGACAGGGTTCACATCTAAAGACTAAATCAGCACTATGACTGCAAGGTCGCCTGCAGGACTGTTGACTCTTTCTCTGGGTATGTGATCATTTTCGAATGAAAGCGTCGCTCTTTAGCCTGCCTTTCTTACTTCTCATTTTTTAGCCCATGCTGCCAGTCGAAGACCTCCCATCATGGCCAGCATCATGAATATGTCACCAGTGCTTCGTTGTTTAAAAGTTTTTTTTTGCTTAGGGTACCAATAGTGCAATACCAGTGGCGTCTCTTTCAGAAGGGACACCTAGCTCCTCCTCATTGATGTCCTACCGGTTGAATCAAAAGTGGGTGGTATTGCTTATGGTCTATGGTCATTACAATGAACACTAAAGTCAATTACTTGTGGTCAATGTTGTGGCAGTCACTTATTTCTTGCAGGCAGTGATCAAATGTTTTAAACGGAAGATAAAGTCATGGGACTGTTTTATCCTGTTTGTCTTAGAAAACATGTTGTCCCAAACTAGTACGTCCCCCATGGCCTCATCCCTCAGAAATGGTAACAGTGCTTCATATGGAATTAATCGCTTGGGCGTGTTTTGAGATGACTGTTTATGTAAAGAAACACGTCAGTCATTTTTATACATAATCAGATCCCAAAACAAAAGTGAGATTGGTGCCCACACTTGTTTGGTTGTGCAATGTGTCAGTCAGAGAATCCTAAGCTTCCTTAAAATGAGTTGTGAATATTTCATGGTCCCTTGACCGACAAACAGTGCCTTGGTTAGTAGTTCATCACTCTTTCGCTCATTCTCCCTCTCCTTGTCGCTGTAGATTTTACTCTGCTTTGTTGCAGTCATTCTTATATTATCACTTTTTCATATATTCCATAAAATCCCTATAGTGCAGAAACAGGCCATTTGGCCCAACAAGCCCACACCTACCCTTTCTGTGTAACCCTACATTTCCCAGGGCTAACACACCTGACCTGCACATCCCTGGACACTATGGGACAATTTAGCATGGCCAATGCACCTAACCTGCACCTCTTTGGACTGGGAGGAGAAACCAACCCATGCAGACATGGGGAGAACACGCAAACTCCACACAGACAGTTGGCCAAGGTTGGAATCAAACCCGGGTCCCTGGTGCTGTGAGGCAGCAGTGCTAACCACTGAGCCACAGTGCTGTCCCAATATATAAAAGCACACTCCCTGGCACATGTAACCTCTTAGACATACAAACCCACAGAAACACGCACAGACACACTTCGCTCTTTCTCCTCTCTCCGTGTTCTTCATGAACAGAAACCAGGCAAATTCTTAAAAGGGCAAGTTATTCACTGACCCAGGTGTTTGTCCAGGCAGCAGATGGGTGGCATGGTGGCTCAGTGGTTAGCATTGCTGCCTCACAGCGCCAGGGACCTGGGTTCGATTCCAGCCTCGGGCAACTGTCCATGTGGAGTTTGCACATTCTCCCCACGTCTGCGTGAGTTTCCTCCGTGTGCTCCAGTTTCCTCCCACAGTCCAAAGATGTACAGGTTAGGTGGATTGGTCATGCTAAATTTCCCATAGTGTGTAGGGATGTGTAGGCTAGGTGGGTTACAAGGGGATGGGTCTGACTGGGATGCTCTGAGGGTTGGTGTAGACTTGTTGGGCCAAAGATCCTGTTTCCACACCATAAGGATTCTATGATGATTTGTAATTTGCGCCAGTTTCCATTGCAATGATGATATTTGCCTGCGCTCTATTCAGTGTTACTGCATGCTGCCTCAATACTTCATTGGCCTGATCTCCCATGTTATCTCAGCATAAATTCTCTATCCCTTCAGTGAATTAATGAAAAAAAACATGCTTTTACAAAGATTCCTGGATTTTCATTTATATCATCTGAATGGACTTTCCTAATAACTCTAGAGTAGCATTCTCAGTTTGAGTTGAAACATTAATTGTGAACTCTACAATATCTGCATACTTAATTTGAAACGAAATGACTAGATAAAATTAGATCAAGGCAAGAAAGTTTGTCTTAAGATTTGCAACCACCTCTTACGTAGCTAAAAACAGTGAAGTATAAACTTGTGTACTGTGAAATGGGAATATTTACGATTTACATGTCCAAATTTTCAGAGAAGCAACTTCAGTAAGTTTAACACAAAGTTAGGAAGGTGATGCAGTGGGGAGTACCCGTTTTCTGAACCAGAGTTTTTTGGATTTAGTGGCCTGCTCATAATGTGGACAAGCAGGCTGATCATCAGCCTGTTACTCCTTCTGATATGCCTGTGGCAGCCGGTAATAATGGAAGAGTCTCCTTGGTCTGTTATGCTTGATGTGGTGCAGGTCCACTACAGCCTCTGGCAACAGGCTAGAGACCTGTTCTGGGAAAATCTATCAATAAAAACAGACGTTAAGCATATGCTTTGCCTACCTCATGTGCCACTAGCCATGAGAAGACAGAAGAGGAAAAATATAATGTGAAGTGCCAGGTCCATGAAAAGTATTACTAGGAAGTGCTCCTTTGTAAATGGTACCACAATGTAAAGTCTGATAGGACAGTTTGAGAGTCCGTCATCTTAGCAGCTGATGTATCAAACCTTGTCAGTGTTCCTTGGGTGCACGGATGATTTCTCTCCCCTGCCCCACCCTACCTCTGATGGGAAGCAGATATTGTCAGATCTACAGTTTCTCAGTCTCCTGGAATTTCAAAGACAGTTCACCAGAAGCCCTGCTTGTGCCTGTCATTGGGATTCCCATTGAACTTTGCAGTAAAGTTATGCTGCAGTGTGTTAGAAACCTGAAGAAGTGAGGTTATCATAATTTGCTCTGATAATTCTCACACCTCAGAATCTTACAGCAGGGATGATGACAATTTGGCTATTGTGCCTGTGTGTTGAAAGAGCTATCCATTTAGTCTCATTCCCTGGTGCCCCCTGCAGTGTTGCAAATATCCCCTTTTCAAATACACATATAATTCCGTCTTGAATCATCTTTCAGCACCCAACCAGGCAGCCCAATATGGATCATAACAGCTTGTGTTTTTAAAAAAATTCCTCTGTACCTTGTGGGTTTTCTGTAAATTATCTTACAATTTGTCTTCTGTTACTTTTTCAGCTCTTAACATGTACAGAGCACAGCGAATGGTAGACTTGGACAGCGAGCTGGCTTCTGTCCTTTTCTCCAGAGCACGAATTGACAGTTTTGGACAACAAGATCTGGATAGTGATGCGGATATTGTTCGGAAAAGGAAGCTGCAGAGGATGATGGCTGTTCGACAGCTGGAATCCGGTGTCGATCTTAAATCAAAAACCCACACTCTGGTACAATGCTCAGATTTAAGTTCCACAAATGAAGGAATGTAAAATGCATCTTAAAAGGAAACAGGATTTGGTCATAACTGGCTGGGCCATTATTGTTTGTCTGTTGCACAGAAACAGACCCTTCGGTCCAACCATTCCATGCTGACCATAATCTCAAACTAAAGTAGTCCCACCTGCCTATGTTTGACCCATATCCCTCCGAACATTTCTTATTCATGTACTTGCCTAAATATCTTTTAAACATTGTAACTGTACCCACATCCACCACTTCCTCTGGAAATTCATTCCACACACAAACCACTCTCTGTGGGGGGAAAAAAAAGTTGTCCCCATGTCTTTTTTAAATATTTCGCTTCTCCCCTTAAAAATATGCCCCCCTAGTCTTGAAATCCCCCACCCTAGGGAAAACACACCTGCCATTCACCTTATCTATATCCCTTATGGTTTTATAAACCTCTATAAGGTCACACATCAACCTCCTGCACTTCAGTGAAAAAAGTCCCAGCCTATTCAGCCTCTCCTCATAACTCAAACCCTCCATTCCTCGCGATATCCTGGTAAATCTGTTCTGAACCCTCTCCAACTTCATAATATCCTTCCTGTAATAGGACTACCCAGAACTGGACACTGTGCTGCAGAAGAGGCCTTGCTAGTGTCTTGCTAGACTGTTTTAGAGGATAGTTAAGACTCAACCACATTGCTGTGGGTCTTGAGTCATGTGTAAGCCAGACTGGATAAGGACAGCAGATTTCCTTCCCTAAAGGGCATCAATGAACCAGACGGATTTGTCGCGATAAATGATAGACTCATGGTTACCATTACCGAGGCAAGCTCTCAATTCCCAGGTTTAATTCATCTAACCTAAATTCCATCAGTTGTTGTGGTGGGATCTGAACTCATGTACCCTGAGCATTAGCTTGGGCTTCTGGATTCCTCAGGCAGTCATTATCCCACTGGGGACCACTGACTCCCGTCGTAACATAGCCATCCAGTAATGGGTAATATGATTCACTATTGAAATGTGTATTTATCTAAAAGGTAATTCCCTGATGCTGCGCTGTGAACAAGGTGCAAAATCTCAGGACATTTTGTGTGTGTGTGCACAGTCAGTGATTCTTATCTTATTGCTCATATAGTGCGATGGCCGCTTCCCAAAATGTCCTCACCCCGAGGGTTAAACTAAGTATTTTCTCCTCTCTTTTTGCTTTGGTCCGGCAGCTGAGCAGGTAACTGATGTGATATTAGTCTGGCATCAGGGAATGTGGGTCACATGACTGAAGGCCCATTTAGTTTGCACATCAGGGCAACTGCCACCAGTTTCCTTTTATCTGTATAACTCCGCTTTGAAACATATGTTGGATTGCAATAAGCTGTCTGTCACACAATGCGTGCAACATCCTAGTTACCTTTTAATAGGCCAATGTATGTATTTTGGTCCAAACACATTTTTCACCAAGGAAGTAAAGAATATTGAATTAACAGAATGCTATATAAATTGTTTATTGTTTCTCTGATTCCTGCCTTTTCATTCAATTTATAAATAGTGTGAGCAGGCCCAACTGTTCAAAGCAGTAGATCCTTTGCCTGAAATACTCAGAGTTATTTATGACAATTGTCATGTTTGGAATTTGATGAAGTTGCATGATATTCAGCACAGCTTAAATGTGCCACAAATTGACAGATTGCGGTAATGGATTTAAAAGTATTTACTGACATATTTCTCTCTGATCCAGTGATACACCAGTAACACACAAGTGATAGATTTCCCTGTCACTAGTGTGTTACCTACAGGACAGAATTTTAATCTTTACTGCAAGTATTGACATCCCTCCTAGGAACTCCCCTGCAAAAATGGACACATTTCCATGGACTCCCTCCAAACAGTGTAACACTCCAAGAAAGATCCTGTAAAAATTGGCCTTGAAGGGGGTAGTGGGAGTCAGGAAAATTTCCAGGTCAGCCAGCCTGTTTTGGGAGAAAGTTCCAGGTCGAACTGTTTAAAACATCTACCTTGGTGCTGTGGAACATGATCTCAGTTAGAATAAAAAGTGGTCCTTCAGCCCTCATACCTCCTCAACCACTCACTGTCTCCCCACCCCCACATACTCCCTATTCTCCCTAAAATGCCCCACCCCCAAACAACTCCCATGATTCCTCATGCCTTCCATACTAAGCTATGTTCCCCCAAACAATCGCATGATCCCTCCGATCTCCCATGCCCATACGTCCACTAAATGTCATATAGAAGCAATATACCGTATAGTGACTGTAGAATATATTGAAACAGAACTGTTTAAAAAATAGTTATTTATTGAAAAAATTCCACTCTTAATAAAGCTCCTTTCTAATACAGGGCAATAAAAGCTTTAATTGTCCAGTCCCTTTAAAGTTTTAACAGCTGAAACTGCAGGCAATTGAAACCACTTCATCTTGTGTTAATAAACAGTGTGAAATTGATAGCAAAGATTAGACAGCCATTGCTGTCGATCAGGTAGGAGCTGATCTGGCGCCTCAGCTAATCTTCTCATTCAAGACATCCATTAATCTGCACTCAAGTTCCTCCTTGATTGAGAGCTATGGCTGTCTGAGAGAATATAAATTAATGTTTCAGGTCCATGAACATTCATCAGAACAAAGTAATTACTCTCCGCTTGCCTGGATGTGTACAGCTCTAAACAACTCTCAAGAAGATTGACACCGTCAAGTATGAAGGGCCAATATTATGCCTCCAGTGCCAGTACACTGTGGCTGTTATATGTTCTTGCAACTTGCCAAGGCATATTTTTCAGTATTTTCCAAATCCATGACCATCCGACCTGCAAAAGCAAGGGCAGCAGGTCAGTGGGAACACAACCATCTCCAAATTCCCCTCCAAATCGTACATCATTTTGACTTGGAAATATACTGATATTCATTCATTGTCACTGAGTCAAAAACATTGAATTTCTTACTAAAGTGTTGTGGGTGCACGTTCAGCACACAAACCATAGCACGATAGTGATTCAACAAGGTCACTCTTCTCAGGAGTAATGGCCTTTATATGCGTTTCTAGTCATTTTGAAAGTAACATGAAAGTGAATCATTTTCTTTCAATTTGGCAGTCATTTTCTCTCTCAGTAATTATTTGTTGCAGTTTGGCTTAAATGATGAGTTTTAAAAGAGTTTCAATTTTTCTTTCCTCTCTTCTTCCTCTCTTGCTCTTCCCTTGTTTGCTTACGATTCAAGACTAGATTATTATTTGGAACATATTTAGAATATATTTACTGATTATAAATATTTGCAAGCTTATTGCGAGCAAAAGAGTAGGTGAATGGCCTTTTTCTGGTCAATACCATGTCAGAGTTGCCAACTAGTGAGTGCACTTATGGTCCTCAAATGGATTGGGTGAGGAAGTTACCCTGAGACCAAGGAATGGTCCGAGCTCAATTTTTCACCTATTTGCAACCTGTCTGCCGAAGAGATGCCCACACTTGATAATGAGTGTGTTCTTTTTCCAGACAAAACGCGAGGAACAAATCCACCATGAGAGAGACTTGCAGATCATCGAGGCATACCGGGAGCGGATTAAAGCGGAAAGTATCAGCAGGATGTTATCCCAGGCCATCACCACACAGCACACCTTGTACGCCACACTTGGACATGCTGAATTTTTCGAGTTTTCTCTGAAAAATCCCTACAGTGTTCAACACACAATAACCATTGAATGTGAACATCCAGAACTCAGGTATACTGCTTGTTACACAAATGGATGAAGACTGACACAACATTACCATCTGTGACTGCAATACATTATGGGCACCAAGATTATGACTCACTCCCAGCCCTCCTTTTGCTCCCTTTAACCCTCAGCAGATTTTCGCTCCATAGCCTTTGATTTTACCGTACGCCCTTCTTGCCTAAAATTGGAATTAGGATTGAGCTGGGCAAGCAACAGACAGAGAAAATGCTTAAAAATTAATAAAAGTGATGACTGGGCTATGAGAATTTCCCAAGAGCAAATCACAGATTAGGACAGTATCCCTTGAACAAAGATTAGAATTTTCCCGCTGTATTGAATATTGCTGGAGAGAATTTCTGGATTTTTTCCCCCCTTTTATATTTTTTGGTCAGCCATCTTTTTCCAGTTATAGGACAAACAAAGAAATAGCCCACCTTCAAGCTTCTTCAAAAATCTCTCCTGTCCTGGGAACCATAACGTTGATTTGTGATTGCTCTCTCCCTTTCTGTTTCATGTGGAAATATCTTTCTGTAGTGGTGAGAAATTGTAAGAAGTTCTCCTATCAGTATGTGATTTGGGAAAACACACAAGTTGGATCCAATACCATTGGATACAAATCGAAAAGCTCTTGCCTGTACCTCACTCATGTGAGCCTGCTCCAACCACAGGAGATCACATGCAACCCCGCCCCCCCTCTCTCCAACCACCACCACTGCACCAATGTTTGTTATGCTTAGCCTTTCGGAGTGGGGTTGCTGATTGGGAACAGTCATGTTCGCCACAAAACTGGACTGAGTCTGCTTGACACATTTTACCAAGCGTGCTTAAAGCCAGGCATGAATGAAGATTTTCATCCAATCAGTCTGGATTGCACCTAACTTCAAGACAACAAGAAAATACAACATGCTTTCTTTTCTAAAATAAAAACAGACAATGCTGGAAAAACTCAGCTGGTCTGGCAGCATCTGTGGGGAGAGAAACAGAGTTAATGTGACTCTTCTTTGGACCTCGAAGGGGCTGGAAAAGTGATTGTTTTTACACTGTAGTGAAAGAGATGGAGGAGGAGTAAATGGAACAAATGGGAAAGGCAACAGTAGTACTGATGGGAGTGGAGAAATGATATAGTTGAAGAGTTGGTGTTAATGGTAAGAGTTAATAGCAGACAATAGGTCAAGTCTACTGAGATCACTCTTTTTTGCTCTGTTTTCTACTGAGTATTATGCAACAATAAGCTTAACACCAAAGCTTTTCCTTCTTTGGTGTGAATGTTGAGTCTCTGGTTTGTATCTGTTCCAGTGTCATTGTGAACAGCAGAGAATGGAAGCACTTCAAGAACCTCACTAAAACACTGACACCACTGGAAGAGGACATGTTCCATGTTGAAGGAGGAGTGCAGTTTCCTCAGATCTACCTGCGGCCAAAGGAGACTGTCTACATCCCATTTAAATTCCAGACCTTCAGTGCTGATCACTCCATTGCTCCACAGGTGAGCTGAAGTCTGAACTCTGGTAGCTTTTCATGTCTCTAGGTTCCTTTAATCCTGGTTCACTCAATTTTATTCAATTTTAAAGCAGTATCATAATTCATCAAGTGGCTCAGGTGGTAAGGCACTACTTGATATTAATTGAAGATTATTTATATGCTTTCCTTTTCAGTTTCTGGTCTGTGATAATTTTGTAGTAATATTCTGATGTCATATGGGAATTAAAAATGAACTTGCATTTAAATTGCACCTTTCACAACTTCAGAATGACCTAACACACTTCACAACCACTGAAGTATTGTAACATTGGACACAAATTGACCTCAGTACCACAAGGTTAAATTGCCATTGGAGAGTAGTCGACCTGTGATTTCCGCTTGTGACCACTATCCTGATGCCTCTGCTGGGAGATCGATGTTGGTGTGTTGGGCAATGGTAGAAACAGATTCAGTTGTGACCTTTTAGAACGGAGATAAGGAGAAACTTCTTCAGCCAGAGAGTGGTGAATCTATGGAATCCACTGCCACAGAAGGCTGTGGAGCCCAGGTCATTGAGTACATTTAAGACTGAGATAGATAGGTTCTTGATTGTCAAGGGGATCAAGGGTTATGGGGAGAAAGCAGGAGAATGGGGTTAGGAAACTTATTAGCCATGATTGAATGGTGGAGCAGTCTCGATGGGCTGAATGGCCTAATTTCTGCTCCTGTGTCTTATGACATCTGCTAACAATCACCTTGCTGCATTATGCACAATTGATGCCACTGCGACCAGGTTTCTGAGAATGACTCGCATCCTGAGAAGCTTCAGGAGCGGACAGGATCAAATTAGAGAAATAAATCCAATAATGCTTAAATTCCTTGTCAAATCTGATGACCTCCATTTCTGTTTCATCTGTGTGAGAATCAGAAATCTATGAATTGTAACCTTCAGAAAGCAGACAGCTTCAAGTGATTGCTACATTTGTCTTCCACTGCTGATCACTACTTTTGGTTCTCACTACGATGGCGCAGATTACAAGATTTTCGGTGGCTCACTCAAAGTAGCTCAGGGATCACTAAGGAGCAACTCTTGAGTCACAGTTCATTGGAGTTAGAAAACAAGAGCAGAATTAGACTCTGTGCACAGAAGAGCTGTTTAACTGGATTGCTGAGAAGGCATGTTCCATGCTGAGGTTTAATGAGAAGTCAAGAACACTGGAATAGCACTGTGCAGCCAGAGCTCAGCAAGTGTTTCTCAGCAAAGTTCAGAAGGCAACATTAGAGTATTAGAGATAGTAGGAACTGCAGATGCTGGAGAATCCGAGACAACAAGGTGCAGGGCTGGATGAACACAGCAGGCCAAGCAGCATCATAGGAGCAGAGAGGCTGACGTTTCGGGCCTAGACCCAGAGTTAGGTTTCAGAAGAAGTCATGTGCCACTAATACTACAGTAGAGAATAGGCTCTTGTCGTGCAGTGGTAGTGTCCCTACCGCTGGATCAAGAGACCCAGGGATCAAGTCCCACCTGCTCCAGAGGTGTGTAGTAGTAACATCTCTGAACAGGTTGATTAGAAAAATAGGTTCCATAAAATTAAGAGTTAAAAGGCCATGAGCAGTAATTGGTGAGTGCAGCAGGATCAGAGCTTAAACAAACAGGGACACAATACTAGGTGAAGCTCATAATTTTTGAGCAGCTGAAGTTGTGCCTGTAAGTGCTGGAGAGCAGTTTCCAGAATCCAGGGGTCCATAGACCAAGGAAAGAAAGGCGAGTTACCAGAATATGAGTAATTATCGAGGCAGTACATGGTGGAATAGTTCTTGAGGGGGAGTTCCAAGGCTAGGCCATCAAAAGTGAGCAATTTGATTCTTGTCAAGTTTTAATGAAATTTGTCAACCCACTGTGTCACTAACAGTAGTGGGTGGAGGTGGTGGGTTGCTGAGAAATCTGTGGGATCTGACTTGATCACATTTGCTATTTGATCTTTGTGTTGGTCACAATCTGTCTGTTAGCCATATTTGCTTCATTTTAATTTTGTGATGGAATATAAATTACATCTATCTTTGCAAAGTCTTAACCTTTTTTTAAAAACAAATAGTATATGCATGTTTGTTTAAGTTTTATTCATAATTACATTGTTATTCTTTGTTGACTTGAGAAACCTAGCTGACCGGTTACTAAAACTAAATGGGATAATGTCTGAGATCTGTAAAATTAGCCAAATCATCAACCTAGTGAAATGTAAATGTTCTTGTGACCTGTGGAGGACTGGGACCAGAAAGGAATCAGTGCTCTGCCCCAACTTTAGTCGCAACACAATACGTGGAAAGGCATTGTGCAATATGATAAATCAAAGTGAGGTATGGAAATTGTCGTTTTATATTCCCAGCCTAATTTGTCTATAGGTGTATTTCCAAGACTTTTTTAAAAAAAAAACTCTTCAGGATCACTAATGGTGCTTCATATTTTCATTTATTTTCTCATATTCCAGGGAGCTATTTGCAGCCACCTTCCCTTGAGCTACAGCTCTAGGTCAGCATATTGCTGCATTTATAATTGGGTCCTGTTCATGAGCCGACTTGCATGTGAGATACAAAGCTATTCCTTTTCTTTTACTTGTTCTCCAGCAAGAAAAGGCTAGCACATATTTACCATTACAGGGAGCTTCAGGTAATGGTCCAGAATCGGAGAAGTATGCTTTGTTCATTCTTCACTGCTGAACCCAGTGGCAAAATGAACGATAATTGCTCCAAATTGCTAATTCGGTTTTGGTCAGCTACCCCAGCAATGACTGGTAATTGAAGGCTCATGCGATGGAGACAGAGTTATGCTTTACTCTAAAACAGTTTTTTTTCTACCACATATATATTTCAGACCTGACAAGTGACGGAATTTACATTTTTTTTTTCTGGTTGCTGTAATCAATGTGTTGAAGTGGAATGTGATCTACAAGTCTGCCTCGCAATAGTCATGAGTGTCAAACAAAGATGGGTAGCTGGTTTCCTAAATTGCTTAGCTTCTCTCAGAAACTAACAGCATCGAAAATTCCCTCTTTTCATAAAACAGTAAACTTAATTTATATCAGAACTCAAGGCCGCCTTATCAAACCAAATTATTTGATGCAAAAATGTAAATCGCTGGAGAAACTCAGCAGATCTGGCCATAGCTGTGAAGAAAAAGCAGAGAAAACGTAACAGGCCCAGTAATCCTTTACGTAATCAAGGACGCTGAGCACCAGTAGTAAACAGACTCTCAAATCATACACAGAACAAATGAACACTACAGTGGAGACAAGATTTTCATTTCTGAAGAAGGGTCTAGGCCCGAAATGTCAGCCTTCCTTTTTGTCTGATGCTGCTTGGCCGGCTGTGTTCGTCCAGTTCTACACCTTGTTATCTCAGATTCTCCAGCATCTGCAGCTCCTACTATCCAAGAAGTCACATGTTGTCTTTGCAGTCCAGACTAATTCTGGAATAGTGAGCAGCTTTATCGGGTGAGAATAGGACCAGGTAAGGTTTTATATAGTCCGGGTAATTTCGCAATAATTCAACTTGGTGTTCACCATTTCTGTTCAAATAAATGTTCCTTGGACTCAAAATAGAAACAAGGGCCAATCTGGGGAAATGGTCTGGAAGAGAGAGAGAAAAAGCTTTAAAAGGGTCTAGGAAATCAAAGGGTGGCTTAAGAGATTGGTAGCTTCAGAAACATTTTGGTGAATGAAGGGCCAAAGACTGGGCAGTTAAGATTTTGGAAGTGCAGTTGTAAACGAATTGGGACAAAGTTTATTTCTCGGATGGGGAGAAGCTGGAAGGAAGGAAGCAAGGGAATGTGTGTAGAACATGATAGAAAGAGGTGATAGAGATGGTCTTTTGTGAGATTAACATGATGAGAGCATTGAAGCACAGAGATGCTAAAGTCAAGGCAGTAACCTTGAGTATGTGTTGGGGAGGCTATATGGAGGGATTTTTTAGAACCTTCTTTAGAACGGTCATAGAGTTGTACACCTTGGAAACATGAGTACAACTAGTCCATGCCAACCAGATATCCTAAATTAATCTAATCCCATTTGCTAGTATTTGGCCAAATCCCTCTAAACCCTTCCAACTCATATACCCATCCAGATGCCTTTTAAATGTTGTAATTGTACCCGCCTCCACCACTTCCTCTGGCAGCTCATTCCATACACACACCACCCACTGCATGAAAATGTTGCCCCTTATGTCCCTTTTAAACCTTTCTCCTCTCACCTTAACCCTATGCTCTCTAATTTTGGACTCTCCTACCCTGGGAAAAAGACCTTGTCTATTTACCCTGTCTATGCCCCTCGTGATTTTATAAACTTCTATATGGTCACCCCTCAGCCTCCAATGTTCCAGAGAAAATAGCCCAAGCCTATTCAGCCTTTTCCTATAGCTCAAAACCTCCAATCCTGGCAACATCCTTGTAAATCTTTTCTGAACCCTTCCAAATCTTTTCTGAACCCTTCCAAGTTTCACAACATCTTTCCTGTAGCAGCAAGACCAGAATTAAAAGTAGTATTCCGAAAGTGGCCTAACCAATGTCCTGTACAGCTGCAATATGACCTCCCATCTCCTATACTCAGTGCACAATAAAGGCAAGCATACCAAATGCCTTCACTATCCTATCTACCTGCGACTCTACTTTCAAGGAACTATGGACCTACACTCCAAGATCGCTTTGTTCAGCAACACTCCCCGGGACCTTACCATTAAGTGTATAGGTGCTGCCTTGATTTGCCTTTCAAAATGCAGTACCTCACATTTATCTAAATTAAACTCCATCTGTCGCTCCTCGGCCCATTGGCCTATCTGACTCTAAGGTAACCTTCTTGGCTGTCCACTACATGACTAATTTTGGTGTCATCTGCAAACTTACTGACCATACCTTCGATGTTCACATCCAAATCATTTATATAAATGACAAAAAACAGTGGACCCAGCACCGATCCCTGTAGCACACCACTGGTCACAGGCCTCTAGTCCGAAAAGCAACCCTCCACCACCACC